TTCCCACGGAACAATATATGTATATTTGGTGTAATGAGAAGAGGAAGAAAAGGACAAAAACAATTTGCTGAGGCAAAAAAAAATTTATTTACTGTTTACATGAAGAATTCATCTTCCGCTTAAAATTGTTTCTAATTAACTTGTAATTGAATTTTTGTGACATTTTTGCCCTTCTTCTCGTGGGTGCTTAAATGGAGGTATATCTCTTTTGGCCCCGCCGAAAGATGTGCGTCAAAATAATGGGAAATGCGAGAAAAATAAAACATTCCTGAAGAGAAAGCATTTGCCTTCCATTTGGTAGATTGAAGGCAAATGCTTTCTCCATGGATAAATTAACCCACGAGATACAGAGAAGACAGAGAAGATGCTTCTATATGTGAATCGCTCTGTATTTAATTCAAGCCATGCTTTTGGGATTGTACTTGAAGGTGATGAATGGCAAAAGGTGCACAATGTGAGATGAATCATGAACAAATTTCATGTGTTGCAGCGACACAATGGCACGGTATGGTAAACTCGAGGGTCGTGATTGATGTCCTCTGGGCACATATATATTCGCAAAGCTCTGTAGCTGTTAATGACTTTCAACCATACCGTGACCAAATACTTCAAACACCCCAAGTTATATGGCAAATAATTGTGATTTAATGCAATCTCCTTAAATTGTATTCACAACGCCTCCCCTCGAGCATATTTGCCACCTAACATAACCGCAGAATCGAGGGAACTTAATAGCCCTAATCGAGATGCTGAAACTTCTAGAAATTGTCGGGGTGGAAAATTCAAGAAAGGGGGAAATTGAATTATTGAATCAAATTTCCAATTACTTCTGTGACATTGTTTCCAGCGGAAAAGACAGGTATATATAGCAAGAGGGAAAGTATATTCTATGGACAACTCGAGATGTTGCCTTGGGGTTTCGAAAATTGACATCTTTAGGCGGGATTATTTCCAGTCAATTTGTTACTTGATCAAATATTTGTTTCGTGCCATATTTGGAAAAGTTTCACTTTTATGATTTGATCTATTTCCAACAGCTCAAATTCAGGGGGTGAATGGAAAACTATGGAAAGTCAAAATCATCATATTTCATAAGAACGAGTTGAAAATTTAGTGTTCATATTGGCTTCGAAACTTGTCAAATTTACCTCAAAATCACCAAAATACCTTTGAAATGTTCTGTAATATTTGTTTTCTGAATTTTTCAGTTAATTTCAGTAGAATTTAATAAAATTTTTAACAGAAATAATGGCAAAGTTAATGCAATTCTTAATAAATCAACTTTTCATACTTTGCATGAGCTTTTCTTCAAAGATTTCAAGTGAAAAAAATTAAAAGATGACAAATATTTTATTCAATAATATTTTAAGAAAATTCTGCAGTTTGGAACAATTTTCTTGGAGAAAATGAACAGCTTCAGTCATAAGAAGACACATAAAAATTTTTGCACTTGTTGATCAGATCAAAAACCTATCAAAAATTCGACTTTTCCTAGTTTTTGCTTCATCCGTTGAAATATAGTTTCGTTTTCACAATATTTTTTGTACCATTGTTATCATGCTCACACAATTAATGAGCACATCGCTGAAGCTCATGACAAGAGCCATTGTTTAGAGAATATCATATAACATTTTGCAGCACAGAAAAAAAGTCTAGTCAAATGTGTGTTATTTGGAAAAGCGAATTCTGCCGGTAGCTGTGCGCCAATATGTTACAAATTGATGAAAACACAAACAGTATGATGTTCATTTCCTCCGCTTCAGACTCCCAGTGAAACTATCACGATGAAAGTTTTAAAAAATAAATGGCAAAATAATGTACTTAGGTTATTAAAAATTGAAATGAATAAAACTTTTGCGGAGTTTGACAAGAATGAGAGAAGATGACTAAAACTGAAGAAGCGCGCGCGTGTGTGTGTCTTTTCCATCAAGTCAAATGGGATTGAAATACACTACATATAGCGACTCCCCAGCGTCTGATGGTTGAGGAAAACTTTGTGTCTGGATGGGAAAGGATGACGGCAAGGATGAAGGGTGTCTTTAACTGAATTTCGGCTGATTGATCAAAGTTTTAATGCATCACGAATTTATTTAGATGACACAACGATGAAAAGTACCTTTTGAGGGATGGCAAAGGGTATTTCCTGCAATTTAAGGGTGCTCTTTGAGGATAACACACGAACCATAATCCTTCCAGGCATGACATAGTGAGGGGTTTGGTTGCTTTGATTCGGTTTTTCCACATCCACCCGCCTCTTATGGGCCATCACCTTTGACACTGGGGCATCGATGCTCCGGAGAGAACGGTGGGAGCAAATACACGTAAAATTAAATTTATTACCTTCTCTCTCTGCGCTGCTTTTTATCGTCGCCACACCACTCAATTCACCCCTCAATACACCCTCATTAGGTGTCCGTCAATAAATTTTAATCTCAATTGTGCTAATTTGATGCTAAATTGTTTACACAGACACGCCAAATGGGACAATAATCAAACAGACAGAAAAAAAGGGCGAATTTGCATAAAATATTTAAAAGGTATACTTTATGTCACCCTCTCCGCCACCTTATCTGCATCCCCAACCGTTCAGCATAAATCACAATTTTCCACCGTGTTCATTCTTCCAACTTTATTGCAATTAAAAGTTTTATTTAGCAAAAATTATATACATGCTTCTGAAGAGTGAAAAATTGTGAATCCTTTTAGCGACATTCCCACCCCCCTTCAAGCTGCCCATTAAACAAAATTATATCACATAAAGTGAATGTGAAAAAAAAGTGCGATGAGCAGAGAGAGACAGTGTGTAGTAAAATAAACGAAAAGCATAACTTTTATTTATTCGAACATTCAGGTTTCATCATTCGACGGCTCGAAATGGATATGAAACTGAAGCACCCCCAGAAACGCCTTTCGGAGGTTGAGCGTGAATTTTTGGGGTGGACAAAGTGGAAGAAGAGAGAGAGAGAGAAAAAAAAGTCATGGGGAAAAGGGTAAAAACAACATTTCCCGTCATTTACACTTATTAGGGTATTTTATAGACACTTTTATTGTAGTAACAACGCCCTTTATTCACCTCAAACCCTCGCCGGCAGGCCCATATATGTCGATTTGAGCGCGATAAGGAGACTCTTTTGCATTAAAATGTCCAACTTTTGAGGCGTGAGCTTCCTGCTGTCCCTCCGCTTTAAAAAGATCCCCCACAGAATCGGATAAAAATTACTTGAAGGCTACTGAAACAGGGATTACCACAGTTCAGATGGGAAATTCCTCGCATTGAAGTGAGATTGAAAATATGTATTTTTGCTGAATATTCAACAGTTCTGCGTGTTGAGTTTAATTTCACTAAGGAACAAAAATCACACTTTTGTCTGCCCTTTTATGAAATGTGGTTTTCTTTAGATTCCTTCTGAGTCATCAGCTTTCCAACAATGCAATCCTCAAGGTTCTCCTTCTGGAGCCGCACATATGTGCTCATATCTCGCCCAATTTTTCATGGATTTCCTTCAAATTAGGCTCCAATGATAGCTATTGAAATTATCTACTACTTTGTAAAACATTATGGGAATTTTAAAACACTTCTTGTTGGTCCAAAATGATCTTTTGTGCGCAACCCGGTAAAAAAATCACCGTTTTTTTTGACCAGCACATTATATCAAATATCTTCGAAACGAAAACACTTTTATATCAGATTATTTTTCCTACATGTAGAGCACTTCTGGGGCTACATTTCCCTCATATATGCCAAAACGATATTTCTTCTCCATCTGCCTGAAAAACAGGGTTTTCCCTCGACAAGTCTCGCTTTTTTATGCTGCACGCACCCGCCAAAAATTTCAAGTCGTCCCAATAAACTCTATAATCTGTGTTCTTCTGAAAACGTTCTGTTTGAGTGAAGTAAGCTTTCCTGCAGCAATTCGGCTCTGTCGATGGACTGTTTGTAAACATCTCGAGGTGACTGTGGGAAGAGAGAGGAGCACGACAAACGACCATTAAAAATAGCCAAAGGGTGACAATCTCACTAGAATTTTTCCCATAGAATGACTGTTGACATTTCTGTGTAGATTCCATTCACTGATTTTGACTCTGGACAATTGTTGCAATTCATGAGTGACTCTAAATGGAGGTTTGGGTGTCAAGAAAAGGCACAATGTTTACAGCTACATGACTTTACTTCCATATAATTTGTCATTTTGAGCATAAAAGGCATTTCTGTTGGGGATTTCGGAAAATCCTGGCAAATATTTGTCCACTACTTGATTAAACTCTGCGGTATTATCCTGATTGTGAAGAAATTTTTTATGTACTTCTTCGGTGCATCATCAAAAGCAAAAGCGTGGCAATTTTGAGCTTTTCTTTTCAGTCTTGCTGCGAGCACATTCGCTGACGGTCATTTAGTAGCCCAACTTTTTCAGGGACTTCAAGTCCACATCCCCATAGTAATCCTCACTGAAATATACGACAAGAGGATCATTTATTCGGCAATTCTCATGTGCATTACACTGAAATTGAGAGAATTTGTGATCAAAACACTACAAGAACTAATGGAAATTAATGATATAAATTATATCTTGCTTACCTACAGAATTGATTTTTTTTAGGAGGAACATAGATTTGAATAGATTTTTGGACATTTCTTTATAGAGAAAATGATAACAAATTAATTTGAGAGAGGTTCAAAAATACATTCAGAAAGGTGTGTAAGAAAGATGCTCCAACAAAAGCTGAATCATTACATTGTAAATATAGAGAGAATGAGGAACAATACAATGTATCAATGTGAATAAACAAACATCATTTCATTCCCAAGAATTGATTATTGTGAATGAAATTTTCCTCCCACAAGAATTACAACATTATACTGCAACGATAACAAGACATTCAAAAAGAAGATATTACAACAGATAGGAAGAGAGTTAGTGGCCAATGACTTTGAGACATTATTACAAACAAATTAATAGAGAATAAAAATGAGGAGAAATTTGTGATGTTTCATTTATTTGTTGTTTGTTTATATTAATTAAAAATATTATCATGTACGACTTCTTTCAATGCAATTCTCCATTGTTTTGAAATGTCTTTCTCTTCTTTTTTTTACCTTCCATCTCATTGCATGTTTCTGTGTGTTTTTCTGTTTCTTTTTCATTGTGTCTGAATCACGTGTAAAAGTGTTAATGTTCAATTAATGAGACTCTGTGTGTATTCTTTGTGTGCTGTGTCTCTCAACCTACCAACTACACTTCATCATACAGTGTTGATCGGTGTTTTTTATTTTCTATTTATTTTTCACCAATTTCTGTCTACATTTTCACAAAAAATGTTTCATGGATAGAGAGAGAGAATTTTCTGTGTTCTGCAAAAGTAAAAAAAATTCTATTTGCAAAAGAGGGGAAAAAATAGAATCAATAAATAAAAAAAAATAATATTTAATTTTCTGCAATTAATCTCAATAAGATTTGAGTGTCATCGAAAAATATACAAAGTTTCTTAATATTTTCTGAGTGTTTTCATTTCTGAGTATCTTACAATCTGCAAGTAAAGTATTTAGTGATAGTTTGTCTCTACAAATCAATTAAAAAATCCTTTTTTATGCATTTTATCTTTCTAAATGATCATCAATAAGACATAAAGATCTAAGATTTATTATTTAAAAAAAAAAACAGTCTATAAGTTGTATTCTTATTAACATTGATTCATTTTAGTTAAATTAAAATTTCCATTACATTTTTTCTTTCATCGAGACTTAAATTAAATTGTAAAAAAGTAATCTTTTCGAATTGGTGACAACTCTCGAATTTCTACATCAAAAACGTAATAGTTGCTTTTCTTTCGTGGAAATTCCTACACTTTAAAAGGAGCGACAGAGAGAGTGATAAGGGAGATAAGGATGAGAAGAGTTTGAATTTCCAGTGAGAGAGAGAGACTGAGGGGGAGAGAAAAAGGAGAAGGGGGAGAGGAAAAGTCACAAGAAGGTGGCTGAAAATTGGGGGTGCCTCATGGAGGACTCTTAGTTCTCCTTGATTCCTTGTGGGCGTGGCTTGTTGGGCTTGGTAGCTGGACGAGGTCCATCCTGATTGAGTCCGGCCAGCAATTCACTCTTGCGGATGCTCTTCAAGTCCAGATCGCCGTAATAATCTTCACTGCAATGGGTCAATGAGAAGAACAATTGGACGACGCGATTCACAATGTTCACAGAGCTCCTTTAACCCCAATTTTTCCTTCACACTTCCATCTCTCCCCGCCTATCGCAATTCTTCAGTCCTTGCCGGACTCCGGACAAGACACAAAAATTGGTAAGAACAGGTGTGTCTGAAGTATAGTTTCACTTAATCCTATTATATGTACAAGAATCTTGTGTCCTGCGTATGTTTTTGGGATTTGCGAGACATTTTGTGTCAATTTGGAGGGTGAAGATTAGAAACATTGAATTAGACACACATCAGAGAGAGAGAGAGTTTTGGTGTTAGAAGACCCAGAAAGCCGAAAGATATAAGAATAGTTTAGCACAAAGAGTGTCAAGTAATTTAGTAGCTATAAATGGTTTCTTTTGAAACTTAATGCCAATGCGGTAGAATTTTGTGCGAGAAAAAGCCAATTGTGAGAATTCCATGTGCTTCAAGGATCAACACTTACCATCCGGGAACTTCTTCGGGATCCTCGCAGTTGCCAGTGCCATCGGCATCGCCGATCTTGAACACTGTGCCAATGGGACATCCGTATTCGCGGGCAACACCCTCGAGGCAGATGTAGTATTTGCGGCAGTCATCAGGGTGAGCGTGTCTCGAGAATGTGCCGGAATTTGTGATTTCACCCGGGGCTGGGCAAGCAAATCCGTTGGCAACTTCTGCAATGTCAAACACACGAGGTGAGTTAAGTCCAAGAGCGGAACAAGTTCAGCAGCCTTGATATGGAGTGCAAAACCGAAATTTCGCTAAGAGCGATTGCAGACTTGCCGGTAAACCCTCGAATCGGCGCGAACTCGGATCAATCCTCAACTGGCGCTGTACACAGTCAGGAGTTATTCTTCTTTGTCGACACTAGCGACAATTTCGCTTCGTGTTTTGCTCTCAGCTGTCAATTGAGTTGTTTATTTTATGAAAAAGCGTGAAATTTTACGATAAAATTGCGGAAATAGAATGCGAGTTAAATAAATATCAGTTGAGCCTTCGATATATCGAGAGATCAGTCGCGTTTCATGGCTCAGCCAGCTGTGGATCACCGGCAAGTCTGTAATCGCTCTAACTCAATCGACTCCTAAGCGCAAAATTCACTGGAATTCCACTGAATTCTCAAGAAATTTGATTGCAAAACTGCCTCGGACTCACCCTCATTCTTGCACTCTGGCACTTGGTCAGCCCACATGCAGACGCGAGCCTCGCGATCATAGGCAAGACCAGGTGAGCACTGGTACCGCGAAGCCTCGCCGTTCCAGCAGTTCCAGAAGACATCGCATTTGTTCTCATCGGCGAAAATGCCATACAACCGTGGGCAGTGGTGTGTGCCAATTGGTGGTTCTAATGTGAATGCAAGAACACTTTAGCATGCATGGAGGAAAGTGGAATGTCAACACTCCCTGTGTCGCCATAATTTGATTGCAACTTACCGAGTTGGGAGCGGTCGCCGCAGTCGACATTGTGAATGTAGTCGCAATTCTCTGTCAGGTACTTTGAATCAGATGCATCGAAGGCTAAGCCATTTCCGCATGTTTTCAGCTCGGCCGCGTTATTGTCGCATTTCCAATATTTGTCACATGATGTGTGGTGTGGGTAGAAGCCAAAGTCATCTGGGCACTTGAAGTTCTCCTGGGCGGCGGCTGCAAAAGACAATGGTGTTGGAAGAAGAAGAGATGCTTAGTCTTTTGGCATTTCTCTCGACTCATTGTTTGGGGGGATTTTTGCAGACAATTGATCTTAAACACACCTAAACACACGCTGCAAAGCGCGATAGACGAGCGAAAGTTGGAATATGATCAAAGCTCAATCATCCGCGAGTTGTCACTATTCACAACTCCTCAACATGCACGGAGAGACAATCTTGTGCGAATGACCCAATTTCCAAATGTCACCTTAAGCATCCAACTCCATGTGATGACTTTAAATGAGCGCCTATATCGGCCTTAATTAGCCCCGCAGACGATAGTGAAATTCAATCGATGTCTTGCATCGAGAAAATTGGAATTCAATTTTTACGCAATTTGTCGTTAAAAAAAATGTTTTTTTTTTCCTCACTCTCTGGTCGTTTCACTGAAGAACTCGTTCGTCCTCTGGCTTGTGAGTGGACCCGCGCGCGAGTGAGTGTATTGCGAAAAAAGCGCGCATTCCGAAGAAGTTAATAAAGCTTTGACTCACATCGCTGACACACAGTCGTGTGCACTGGCTTTTTTTTCGACAACTCCCCTCACGAATTTTGCATACTCAATGACAATGATTGGACAAATCAAGTTCAACTAGAAGCTTGAGGGACGAGCATAAGAAACTTTCATGGTCAATAATTGGATCGCCTTGTGCTTAAATTCTGGTGGCCTCTTGAGCCTTCCTCACTCCAAACTTCTGTCGTCTCATTGAAATTCACTCTCATGTTGAGTGCGGGAAAGTAATGGAATCAGCACTTTTTTTATATTCATTCCTTCTGTTTGTCAACCAGTCTATAAAGTGGCTTCGAGTGTTGTTTGCTATTGAAAAAACTTTTACTGGAAAAACATCACGAGAAAATCAATGAGGCAGCGAAGGTGTTCGCATTCATCGCTGGATTGCATTCAGATAAATCAATGCTTGATAAATCAAACTCAGGTGGATTTGAATCTGAGAAAGAAGGCAAATTAATTGCCCGCTGGTGGCATTAGAGCTTTAAAATATGTATGTAGTTCAAGTAGGTTGATGAGTGTGCACAATCTAGAGCTCATATTACCGTCACTTTGCTCTGAGTGCAGCCACTGCAGAGCCACCTTTGAGGATCAAACAATGCTTTGTCAGAGATAAATCTCTCTCGGATGGTAACTTGAAGCTTTTTCCTTGAGATCGTCGCATCCGAGAGACACGGGGCGGGGGAGATTATTATCAATGGGTTGCAGGAAAGTTGCAGAAGAGTCAACCACGAAAGAGGTTGCTCTTCTCATTCACCCGTTCGAGGTGAGCCTTTGTGTCACCTTAGCGCAAAATGGATATTTTATTACAATAAATCAACACCGAAGAATCCACTGAAACTAATTTATCACCATGGTAATTTAATATTTTATCTCACAACTTTTTTTCTTCTCCTCTCATCCTCACCCATAGTCTGTCATTGGCGCTTCTTTCAGTGGGTGATTCATTATGCGTCTTCTTCCCTGGGGGGCATTTTCAAGAAATGCGCCATCCTTCATCTCATTTGTTGTGGCATTTCGCGGCAAATGAGCCACCGTGGCGTGAAGGTGAGACGAACACCCCTGGTATATTATCAATTTAACTCATTTTCCGCACTTCGTCTCCTCTTCTGCGCCTCTTCAGCGCCCGAGAACAAGACAAGACCCCCGAAAGATGATCACACTCCGGTGAGAGTTTATAGTTTCGCGTGGAATGCAGACAATTTTTTTTCGGCTGATATTTCGCATTACAGCGTGCAAAATAATCGATCGTTTTTTGCTGCTCTGCACACATCATGAAAAAGCACATGAAAATTTCGTGATTAAATTACAATCTTTTATGCCTATATCTCACATGAAGCAGTGTCGTGTGTACTTTTTTTTCACCTCACTTTTCTCTTCTGTAATTTTCGAAAGTGAAAGTAAAATAATAAATAAATATACATAATATTAACATCTGTGTGTTCGATTTATTCTTATGCGATGTGGAGTTCGGCAACTGGTTGTACCACCAACTACATAAGAGCTCTCCGCCAGCGTGCCATAGCTTAGAGGTGTGGTCCAATCTTTTGAGATCGGCGGTGAGGCACGAGGAAGAGAAGTGGATGGGAAAATAGAGACTTATCAGTGAAAAAAATCTTCAGCAAATATGTTTGACAAATTTTTTCACCTTCTTGTGCAAACACTGCTATTTCTCTGCACACAGACACACAAAAAACCGCGCAAAGGTGAGAGATTTGCAGAGATGCACAATTGACGTTGAGAGATTGTGTAAGAATTTGTCACAGAAGTTGCAAAAGTCAAGAAGTTATCAAATTTTGATCGACTGAGTGGCGATGGTAAAATGATTTTGATATCTCAATTTCAAGATCAAGATCAAGGTCATGAAATCCTCAAAAGAACACAAATTGAGCGATAGAACTTTCTGGAATATCAAAAATTGATAAATGGTATCATTTCAAGGTCACTAACTATAGCCAAACTTCTGACAATTTCCAGAGAAATCTCTTTTCTTAGCAAAGTCTACGCGACTTGTGTAAACAATCGCTCAACACTGAACGATGCTAATCGTGGCGATAAATTTACGTGCAATTCCGTGGCGCAAGCAGAATAATTGAAGAGGCACAAAGTGTGGTAAAATCACACAATTTCTTCTAATTGAATTTATTGGCCGTCATTAGATATTGCAGGCATGCGAGAGAGTGAGAGAAAAGGCGCGAATTTCAATTCCGCTCAGGCGGGCGGCGCGCGTTGAGAGAAGGTAGAAAAATTACACATTCTCGTAATATTTCTTCAATTGCATAACATATGTGATAAATTGGAGAAAATCCAGCAACTCAGAGTGTGTGTGTGTGTGTGTGTGTGTGTGTGTGTGTCTCCAAAAGCCGAAGGACAGCTAGATGGCATGCGAACAGACGCGTTGTGACCCATTAAGACAATAACCCAGTGATCTCAAGCGGAGATCGTCAGAGAAGTATGAAAAGAAGTAGAAGAAGAAGAAAAAACGCCTTAAACCCGTTTATCTTATTTCCATTCCACGAAGAAATAGAAATAATTTTACCTTGAAATGATGAAGACTCTACAACACAGCGCAGAAAAAGGCAATTTCTGAAGAAATCACCGTGCGCGCAAAGGCGTTGCGCGAAAGCGAAGATGCTCCACCAATTTGCATACTAATCAGCACTTCCTTATGGCATATCAGCCAATGTATTCACTCAAAATGTAACTCTTATGTGCATAAATTTGCTCACTATCGATTTGGATATTTTGTAATCCGGCCTAACGACAAAATCGGTTGTGTAACGACGCATGTTGACGAAAAAAAATAAGAGCCACAAGTGTGGTAAAATTCACCTCCTCCTTTTGGATGATTTTCAACAGAGGCGTGAAAAATTGCCGAGAAGACTTGGAATGTTGCAGAGAGACGAAAAATAGCCCAACATGTCCAGGATTTCACATGTTGAGTGAAAGAATGTGGTTTGTCTACCCGAAAAGTCACAAATTTCCCACTCAATTTGCCCGTTTTTTTTTCTCGGAATTTTTGACTATTTCTCCACCACGTGGTGATGATTTGGCGGCAACGGCGGAAAATACAACACCGCGTGAGAAGGTGAAGACAAATGAGACCGATTAAAGTAAATTGGTGACAATTTAAAATTAAATTTCACAAGAAACCGCTAAAATACAGAGCATTTGAGGCTAATTTGAATTTTAACAATTCAAACTTTTTCACGATTTAAGGTCAAATTTGCGACTGTGTTGTGTGAAATATGTACATTTTTATCCGGAAATAATCGCTTATTTGTGGTTTTGCTGTGCAAAGCGTCTGCAGGAGAGGAACAGGTAAATCAGTGTTGGGAGATATATCGCTTAAAATGGGTTTCTGTGTAGTGCAATGCTGAAAATTTCACTTTTATCGAAAACCGGTCGATCGAATGTATCATAAGACTTTTTACCATTTCTGCGTCTCCACCAATTACCGTCTGTTGGTCTCTTTCCTCAATCTCTATTACCAAATTCCCCGCACAACATTTTGGGTGATTATCTTCAAATTATCTTCATACAGAGCGCGCATTTCTCCGATAATCTTGAGCCTGAAATTTTTGATGAAACTTTTTGGGGAGAAAATGAATTGTCTCTAAGTGCGTGAATTTCGTTGAGTAACACCTTTCAGTGGGTGACTCCGAAGGCAAAGCGAGTTCATTTCTTATGTCTCCATCTTCGTAAGTGTGTGTGTGTCTCGGTAAGAGTGCAATTAGGAATGCAAATGTGAGTCGATATGAAGAGCGGGGAGACAAAGTGTATTATTTTCATGTAAAGCATTCACAAGCTGGAGCACGACTTTGGCTGAAACTTGCATGACGTTATGAATGAATAAACATTAGAATTGTTGTGTGTCGCGGTCGCATTTATTACTTTCCATTTCATTTTATACATAGAGAGACTTTGCTCACATGTCTCTCACTCTCTTTTGTGGAGTACAGCGAACTCATGCCTCCCTTTTGGTTCGTTTTCAGCGCCTTGGCGTATGCCTCAGATAATATAAAATTGCCAGAGACACAATATTTTACATAATTACACTTTGGAATTTATCTCTCTTTCTCGCACTCACGGATTGTAATTTGTCAATTTTTCCAACTTCAATTCTTATAGCAATTTCCAGCTGCCCAATGGAAGAGAACAAGAGAGATACGCGGGAGGGAAATAATTGGAAATTGTTGAAGAATTTTTCTCAGTAGATTTCTCAATTGATCGAGGACACGGAGGTGCAGCGCAATCTTAATTGTTTTTTCCTCCTCACAACTCACACGCCACACAGAGTCATGGCCCACAAAGATTGGGCACCTCAAGCACAATTTCTTGCACCATCTCATCTCTGACGCATCATTTTTCCGTGCAAAATGCCCTCCTACGGGAGTCCATGGCGAGGTGCACACGTTAATTTTGTAACGAAGACATTAGCGTGGTGCAAGAAAGGTGGCTGAAGCACGAGAGAGTATGCAAAAGACGGCATTATGAACCATTTGCAATCGTGTCTGCAGCTCAAGCCACGAAAAAGCTCGCGAATGCGCGCGAGAAAAATCACAAAAATAATTAGAATTTCAGCAAGGAATTCCAAACATGGATTCGATGGGGAGAATAAAGAAAAAAAAGGTGTGAGAAAGAAAAACACACAATTTCACACGCGGAGTTGGTTGTTTGAGGAGAAAGTTTTGATGATTTTGCCGATGCAAAAAAAAAACCATCTCACAAGTTGTAATGCAAGCAAATTCCAAACAATTTGACTCACCTCAATTTTCGGTAATGACTTGGAGAGGGGAAAAAAATCAATAAAATTCGTCAGAAAGCATCAGGCAGTTTATCCATCTTGACAGGGTCATTAAAGGAGGATGAAATGGTCAAATCTTGACACTGATCTCGGATAGGAAACGCGCTCAGTTCGGGGAAAAAAAAGTATCTCAAACTATGTCAAGAGGGTAATCAAATGACACACAGCATTGAACACAAAACTGCCACTTCTCTCGTGTGTGCGAAAACTGGAGAAAAAGTCACTTTATTGAATTATTTGCAGCCAATAGAGAAGTGTCTTATCTATGATGACTGTCGTCGAACTCAATTAATCTTATCCTTTCTGCATATTTGTTCATTCAATTGGATGAAAAGGATGAAAATGATGGAGTTTAAGAGTGTCAAGTCAGAATTAGACTTTTGAGGTTCTTTTCAAAGTTATTTCCGGACACACAAATGTCATTAAATACAGGAAATGACAACCATTAAGTAATAAATATTAAGAAAGATTATCCAACAATCGGATCACAAGAGAGACATTTTTATAACCTCTCCTATAATGCATTAGGAACAAACGCATATTCAGACCTTCTCTCATGTAATCTTGAGACTTGTCTTTGAGACTTATAGGCAATCTTATATTACACTTTTTCCGCTGCCCAATGAGCCTCAAATAGGCGTGAATTTGGTGGTGTGACCCATCGATTTCTAGTGAAATGGTGTGATAAAAAGAGATTTCAGCACTTAGAAGAAATGCACTAAAATTTCTCTCCACTAGAGATTGACTTTATTGTTTAGAAAGCTGCTCCAGATTGGAAAAAGTGCACTTCACTTTTACGTTTGATTGAAAAATTGATTCAACGAGAAAAAAAGATCACAGGTGTTCGATGTGAGTGAAAAACCGTGGAAACATCACATTGGAATTTCATACAATTTCATAAGATAATTCACAAGATGTGTGTGGAGGGATTTTCTTGCATGCCACAAGAATATGGTAAGATGGAAGAGTGCTCGCGGTGCTCGCGAATATCAATGGCATGTCGCGAAGGTGTGCTGAAAATTGCACAAACAGAGGAGAAAAAGAGTGTCAACGGTTGTCACGTGTCAATCTCTTCCCATTGACCGTGTCTATTCTTGTGGACATCAAACTTCCATCCTGCCATTGTCTTCGCGCCGACCGTTGATTATGACTCTAATGGAGAATTTTCCGTTCTTCGCTCGCGCGCGCCTTAATTTGGCGTCTGAGAAACAGCGCTCTTCGTTCTCTGCCTCAACTCCATGAGACACTATGCACAATGATAGTGATGAATAATAAAGATTGAGTGAAAAAATCTCAATGAATTTTAAAATTGAGCTCACGCATTTCTGTCAATGAACCTGAGAAGCTCTTTCCACCACCTCGACACCTTCATTATGCGCTGTGTGCTCTTTTTCCACCTCTTCCACGGTATTTATCTCATCAAATGGCTATTTTCTTGCACGTCACTCCTTCACTGTCGTCTGTCTTCTTCTTTTCTTTCTGTCACCCGAAAAAACTCTTTGCCGCGACTTGTTACGTGAAGTTCGAAGATGAACCACCCGAAAAAAAAGTCATCCAAACAGATTTCTATGCAAATTTCAGGAAGAAAACGTGCAAGTTTGAGCAATTTTCTCTCATTGGTATTTATCTTTGGTGCTCAGCGGATGATGAACCACGCAAAGGTACAACAGCCACTGGAATTGATTGAACTAATTTCACTTTTTATTTCAAAAAAAAATTTTTTTTGCCTCTCTCGCATCTCGTGATGGTCAGAAGAAACACGCTCCAAACGGGAGAAAGAAGTGTTTTTTGGTTCTGCAAGATGAACACAAGAAATTCGTCGTTTTCTTCTCTGTGCACTGCACTGAGAGAAACAATCCAAATAGATTCCAGTAAAAGTTCATTGTTTGCTCTATCTTTGGATAGATTCAACAATACCTCAATTAGTGAATATAACTACAGATCCTTTAGGATGTTTCCAAAGAGGATCTGTGTGTGCTGCAAATTTATATCTAACGAGTAATTGAATCAATTGGAATTAGAATTTATTTCTCCTGCTCTTCATGCTGATGAAAATTATATTCCAATCAGTGAAAATTATGTTTCCTCCCACATTATATAGACTATGCAATCCTAATGGAGTCAAATAAATCGTCGCACAATGCAAAATTGGCAAGATTAGAGTTATATGGAATTCGAAAATTCAGTCACTTTTCACTTTCATCGGACATGGAGACGCGGTGAAAGAAGTGTTTCGCCAAAGTGGAGAGCAAGTCTGGGTGTGTTTGGAATTTCATGATGCAGTCTTTCATCAACACTTTTTGGCCATATAATGCTCAGGGTGGGAGACGAGAAATATATTACTGAGAGAGGCGAAAAATGTATTATGCAACGCAAGTACCAAACATCCCATCAGCCCTCGCAGCTTTCGTGGGTTTGCCGATGAAAACGAGTCAAGAATGAGAAAGTGACACGAATCCTCTCACTTTTTCTTCTTTCTCCTCGACGGATTTCTTGATTAACATTTTCTTTTCTCTTGGCAAACTCAAAACAATTTTCATGTCTCATTGAATTCTTTGCGCACAGTTCTTTCTTCATTTCAATGCTTTTGGGCCATATCGCACTTGATTGTCTTTCGTTTCGTCAAAAAAGGATTGTACAGAACTTGAGGTGTTTATGTGATGTGTGTTAATCCAGACAGAGAGAAGAAAAAAAGTCCATTGCAAGGGAGTTGAATTGAATAAATTTCATTTGTACGTACCGAATCCGACAATAGCAATAACCACAATTAAACACTGTCTCATTTTGGCTGTGTTCCTTTTTCTTACAAGAATAATTATACGACTTAATTGATGTGCGCCCTAAACTCGCTGTAGGTGCCAAAAAGTGTCTCTTTCCTCCCGTGATTGAACTGAATGAATATCGGTCTCAACACACGTCTTCCTCGCGCAACAACTCAATAACCAACTGTGTTTGTGAAACTTTTACCATTCTCTTTTTATACCCAGGTAAAGGTGTAAAGGCGATTTCGAGAAATAAGTGGGGCTCCATCCATAAGTTCATAACACTATATAGATAAAGTGTTGGACGCCAAGAGAAGAAATAGTTGTACGATACACATTTAAAAATATTAACCAATTGTTCACTGGTTTTTAACATCAAGTTTCCAAGTATTTTCCTCCAACTCATTCAATACTCACCCATGTCACCATCCCCACCCTTGGCCGCAAGATGAAAATTTTCACTGTATTTTACCAACATTCCCACCAACCGCATGAAATTTATATACCTCTTTTTTACCTCTTCAACCAAAAGAATTCACCTCATCTCACTTTACCACACCAACACTCTGCCAAGCCAAACACACTGTCAATGTGCACAAGAAGTGAATAATAAAAATTGTTAATCCAGTTTCCATGTGAAGTTGAATATTGATGCCTTTTTTTCTCTCTTCTTTCGTCTTCTCACAATTTGACGAGCTAAAAGGTGCACTGATTAGTTAAAATAGTAATTGGGCTGATTGACTTAGAGTGGGAAGCGAGTGATTGTTTTGTTGGGTAAATTGGAATTGAACGGAGAAAAAATGAGTATTCATTGACACAGAAAATGTCTTCATGCGAGTGCATTTGTATCAATTTCTTTTCTCAATAACCAACATTTTACAATTGTGCATTATTTGCTTTGAGAACCACCAGAGCATTGACGTGATTCTGACGCCGCACAGTGTTAACAATGCGTGAATGAAAACATTCTTAAGTTAATGCAATTGCAGAAAGCACAATAAATATCAATTTGAAGAGTTTTCAGAAGGAAAAAAAAAATCTCATAATTTGCTATGTCAAATTCCATATTTTCCATGGAAAAAACCAGGAGGAAAAACTTCTGAGTAAACAATTTTTGTGTTAATTGTGCACAAGAAAGCAGTCAAATAAGTTTCTTTCTCGCCACTTGAGAGGAAACACTCTTCAATTTTCTCCTTCCTCAGCAGTTTAGGACAATGTGGGCAAAGGGACGGCAGACAATTGCCACATTCCTGCAGGCAGTGAAAAGACATTGGAGGTAAAAGGACTCCGAAAGCACGAGAGAAATGCAATTATTGCACGTGAAAGAGTCTGTGACACTGAGAATGTTGGCGTATTAGAAGGAGAGACATGAAAATGAGTGAATTCCGCTTTCGTTGCAACCTTACGTAATAAATTGGTTGTGGTGTGCGCAATTGAGAAGAGGTGGTTTTGTCGGAGAAATGCCCTTCACTGTGCGGGGGAAAACTATGGGCTGTATACGATGTTGAAAACCCTGATTGCGGCAAGAGACGCAAATGGAGGGAAGGTGGAAGTGGGAGTTTGTCTCCGGTCACGGGTAACAACAAGCTTCTTGGACAAATCGGAAAGGAAACACCTAGCCCCAAGCACTTTTTCACCTTCATTTGACGACGCACGGCATTGAAATGTGAACCACCACGAATTCTCTCTTTTTTTTCTCACATTTTACATACACTTCCATATATTACGCTTCCCTCTCACCTCTGTGATCGTCTCATGAACTCCCATCGTGCAGAACATGCCTCCATTGAGATATTAAATTGATTCTGCACCACTAATTGATTCTCAATCATTTCATCTCCGACATCAATACACGTGAAAGCGTTTTTTCCAACACATGGTGGGAAGCATTTAAATACACCATTCATGGATGAATATTTAACCTGGGAAGTTTATGTTGTTGATACGCCCAAGAAATGCTTGAAAACTCCGCAGAAATTCATGGTGAAAAGTCAAGGAGTTGATTCTTCAAGACGCTTAGAAGTTCTGTGAGCAATTTAGGTATAAATAATTCAAAAAATATTGAGGACACGGAGAAATTTAACAAAAAAAACCGTCTTGTTCACACATTTTCCAATTAAAAATGCACAAAATGAATGGAAAAGATTCTTCTGCATTATTAATTCAGTTCAATTCACAATTCAATATGACTCTTTCTCCGCTCTGCATTATTATTATTATGTTCTGCAAAAAAATCCCCACAATAGGAAAGAAGTGTGATCGCAAATGTAACCAATTGTGAACTCTTACATTTCTCCACAGATCAGTTGGTGCAAAAAAGAAATCACGCTCCTCTCTTTTGCACAATACTCTTCATTTAGCATTAATACTATAAACATCCAATATTGTTTTGAGTCTGCTCGTAATCTCATTAGGTGCTCCACCGCGGCAGATTCATATTATGTATTTATCGAAATTCCTCATTGTTCACTTCGGGCTGAGAATTGAACCGTACTCCATTAAATTTGAAATCACAGATAAAATCAAGTGAGGCATATTAAAGCTAATGACTACATGGTGGATTTTACATAAATAAATAAATAAAAAATACTCAGCGTGAATTTCCTTTTGACACACTTTTCACTGATGGCGGAGTGGAAATAAGCTCTCAATCCAAATGACATAATTGCTCGAAAACCAACATTTAAATTCATATCAATTATTACAGACACACTCACTTTATCTCGATTTTGATGAAACATTATTAAATACATAATTCCTCGAGCGAAATGTGTCTATTGCGTCTGGGCACGAGAAATACTTCAGAGCATATGAGGTGTAAATTTTTCAATTTCAGACAATTATCATTATGGTGTAAATAAAATGGTTCGTAAAGTAGTATTTATAGGTAAAATGTGGGGATGTAAAATTATGTTTCTGCAATTAAAATTGGTCATAGAGTAACTTCAATGCAATTGCCGTGTTTAATGTGTAACATTGCCCTTATTTTGTAACGCAAATCCAATGCTTGCCAAGCATATCGTAAAGGGTTTGATGTTGATACGCCAAAAAGTGTTGCAGTGATTTGATTTTGATGAATATTTCAAATCATATTCATTTTGGCTCGACGAAATAAGGTTTCACGAATTAAATACAATTCAGTGCAATTTTTCCGTACAAATTTAAACTATAATTTAAAAAACTGATAAATATCTCAGCATCTTCACTTGATTTCTTTTTAAAATATCCCACAATTGTTTGTATTAAAGTGTATTAAATGAATTCTTTGCCAGAAATTTGCCAATATTACCTGAAAACACCTTCTAAAACATTCATTAAAGTGTTAATATTGCGCTGTAAATAATATTTTGTGAATGTTTCAGTTAATTTTATTAGTTCTAATTGAAATTTTGACTGAAATATTGCGAGTTCATAGAAAAAACTGAAAAAATTACTTTCCAAAGGCAATTTTCAAAAATATTCGAGTATTTTTTATCCAAACAAGTTCCCAAAAATCAACTTTTGCCAAATATGATTTTCTTTTAAAATTGAAGAACGTTTTAGGGCGATTTTGACTGAAGTTTGGGACAATTTGATGAAAAATTGAATCGTTTTTTGGATAAAAAAAACTTTTTTTTTCTATTATCCCATAGAATATAAACTTCAGATTTTTTTCCAGTAGTAAAACAGATAAAGAACTTTTCATAGTTTTCGATTCACTGAGATATAATTTTTCAATGATTCAATGTGATATTGTTTAATGATGGCATAAATCACACACTTGAAGCGGAATATTTGAAAAAAAGATGTATTTCAGATAGAGAGAGAGTATTGCATTGTCTTTTATCATTTCTTCTCCACTTCAGCACTTTTCTGCCATTGAAAGTTTTTTTTTGTGCGCGGAAAAGAGGAAAAAAAATGCGGCGCCTAAAAATCCAGATTCATCGACAATTGTGCGATTGTTCTAGTATATTTCACATATGTTGGCTCTCTCTCTGCCATCACGCGATGATGGTTGAGTGCGGAATAGATGAGATTACGGGTGAATTTTCGTGGCGTCGACAGAGGGCTTACAAGACAGGCGAAGGGTGGAAAAACACATGGAGATCTCCATCTGCAATTCCAGTGAGTCATTTCGAGTGTTGCATTTAAATGCGCCTCGCCAGGAGCCAAAAGTACGAGCATTCCATGTGGCACACATGACTGAGGCTTTTGGTTTGCGTTTGATCCATTCATATGCCAAGGACAATGCCACATTCTCCAGCAGTCGTCGGATTAATTAACCAGAAATGACCGACTGCAATTGCAGCCGTGCAGCTCACAGTTCACCTCTCGGGACGACTAAACGCCCCATCAACCCTCAGCCCGGGGAGTCTCCCCCACGGACGCTCTTGTGCATCTCTGCCACCTGCATCGCCCGCCCTAATCGCACAGACATTCTTGATCGCCCTGCCCAATTATTCCTGGCACATGTCATGTGGCGACAGCTTAATATTGCGAGTTTTGGGGATCGTCTTTCGGCTCTTGAATTCAGACCAAACTCCGCCAATTCCTGCGCGACAGTAAAAATCTGGGCGATTTGTGTGTGTCGAAATTGCACAGACGACATACATTGGCCCAAGGTTAACACCATCGTCATCGTGCAAGTGAAGAGTAAGAGTGCAAAGAAGTTACAGGGCAAATTGCTCACTGGCCTCCCAGACTGTCTCGCTGTTCAGCAAAAAATCCGACAAATCTCTTCGCTCTCTCTCTCTGGAAGATCAAGCCACAAACCGCGCTTGGCAAGGAGAGAAGAAGAAGAAAAAATCAGCAATGCACAAAATGTTGTCAACTTAATAGAGATGCTTTATGATCTACAACTCAACCTCGAGCATTCAGCAATTAAGTAAGTGCTGACGCCACGTGATTTACAGACAGATCTCAATAGTGCTGAGTTGAAGACAAGTCACCACCTTTGAGATTAATTCCATCGCTGTTTTTTTTCTCCCACCTCGGAAAAGTGCAACGAGATGCTTGAGGAAAAGTTCATGAGGAAATAAATGGGTGTAAAATCACCTCTCAAAAATTAATTGATTAACAACCTTGTTAGCATTTTTCCTTTTTTTCACATATGAATTAAGGCAAATTCTTCAAGTTGCTTGACCACCAAGTTTAAAAATAATTTCATGCTGAGTCACATGAGAAACGAGAAATGTGGCGTTGAAAATGTAACAAAATGTGTGACCAGAAAATTGACCGTCTGAAATTGTATTTTGCGGTGCAAAGACGCTTTGGAATAATCGCAGACTTCTCAGATGTCCTCGATGTTAATTTGCCGCCGTCTTTGCCACATGAATCACAACTCTTTTCCATCGCCCAACGTTAAAACATCATATTCGGCATAATTCGCACTTCGACGGGTGAATCGAAAACTATGAAAAGTCGATTTATCATAGTTTTCGTCTTATGAATGTTTGAAAAGCTTTTTATTAGTTCTTTCTGTACAAAAATTTCATTTAAAAAGCACAAATGGAAAAAAAGTATCAAAAATTGCAGTCAAACGCATAAAACGCCTCTTCAGAAAATAATTTTAGATGTTCAGAATTATCTTAAAAGTTTTTTAGACTTTGAATGAATATTTCTAATATTTTTTAAATTTTTTTCACTTAAAAACTTTTAATAAAAATTCAAATACAGTGTAAAAAATTGATTTTTTAGGACTTGTTCGGATAAAATCGATTTTGTAAAGTAATATTTTCAGTTTTTCTTTTAACTTTGCCATATTTTAGTCAAAAATTTCAATAAATACCGATAAAATCAACTGAAATTATCACAAAATAATAAATTCAGAGCAATATTTTCACTTTAACGGACGATTTGAAGGCGTTTTGAGGGTTTTCAAGTAAATTTGTCAAATTTCTCAGCTTCATTAACGCTAAATTTTGAACTTGCTTTGCTGAAAAATTGCGATTTTGGCTTTTCATAGTTTTCGATTCACCCGTCGACTTGTGAGACGATTAATAACACCGGCAAAAGATGGAAAGTGCAGTCTTCAGAGATGTGAAAATGCAAATTGCTCCTTTGTCATTGGGATCTTGGGCGATAAAATGCTTCATTCACGCGAATATATATCATCTTGCCGTGCTTTCAATTTATTCGAAAGCCTTTGCCATTGCAGGGCATGCGATTTTTACACTCAAAAAAGGTGAAATGATCGAATTAAACATATTTTTAAACTGGTATTGACATTGACTTTTTCACGTTTTCAACTTGATTTTCAATGAATTTCACTCAACGCTTGAATTTTTTTTTCTTCGGACACGCTGGGAACTTTATTTTGTCTCTTTTAACGCCATTTACCCACCTCAATCAATTCGCTCCACTGACCAGTGGACAAAAAAAACTGCCCCGAAATATATTCTCCAAGACACTTTTGGCGGACAAAATTCACATGGTGATTAGGAAATGACCGACAAACTGGTCGTCGCAACATTGTCAAGATCTCTCGTGCGATCCGTGCTTCCGGTGCGCTTCTTAGAATTCAATTAGCCAGCACTGATACCGCGATGGAGAGGCAAAGAGTACAATTGTGTGAAATTCCACGCAGAGTCCCTGAAAAAATGTGAATGTGCCATCAAACCATCTACAATTTTGGTGTCTTGGAATTGTTTAACGGGTCAGATAAGACCTCCAAGAAGTGCGCGCGGGAGAGAGAGAGGGAGAGATTGAAGTGAATGCGCCTACAATTGACTGTGCATTGCGCATAAAATAGCCATTCATTAAAATGACTGGTGATGTTTGAAGTTTCCTCTTGACTTACCAACACTTCTTTTACTCATATATCCACTCCATTAATATTCAAAGGGTTATATTAGCTCTTAGTGCTTTTTTTTACCAACGCTAAATCCACCTCTCTTGGTCTCCCCCGTCTGAGAAACTCTTACAAAACGTGTGTGTGCAGTTATGTAAAGTGCATTACAAATTTTTTTTGTAGCCGGGCAAACACTTCTTTTCTATTCTGCCATCATCACCATCATCATTACCATCTACCCATCAATTGGAATCATTAATTAGTTTGTCTCAATTTGGGCCACATTCACTTCCTTCACCAACTTCAGGCCCTTTTATCTCCCCTGATCGAAATTGGTCATTTTGCAGCGGGAGACCAATTTAGTTAATACTTCTTTTTCGTCACTTCAAAAAATCCACAATCATTTATTTACATCTTTTTCCTCAACCGTCCAAAATCAATACACATCGTCATCATGTCAGGGTGTCACGGGTGTAAAAGGAGTCCCACAGAGCCATTCTCTCTGTCTCTGGGAGCTGACAGAACTCCAATCTCTCAGAGATGTTGAGACACTTGAAAGGAGGACCAGTAACTGCCACTGGATGCCAGAGTTCTGGTCTTGTAGCATCGCAATTCGGGTTCCCGGTTGCAGCAAATGTTGTCCATATCGTTACCATGCGATCGATAGCCTTGTATTCTGTGCTATCCTTGGAAATTGTTACTTCGGTGAAGGAGTTCTTGAATAGACACGGCAATTCATCTCCATGACAAATTCCAGACACTCCAGGTTCTGGGCAGAACAGTGGCTTCACGAACACAAGAGTCGGCAAATCGTGGTTGAAGCGATAGAGAAAAGTTGGAACTTTGAAGGAATTCTCGCATCTGGATCGCACTAGCCTTGTTATTCCGTGTGCAAAGTCCTTATCAGTATACATCTGCAGAGATAAAGGCAATTAATATAAATATTTCACACAATTAACCAGTGGAAACTTACATTTACGTAATTGTCGTGCTTTTCTTGGGCTGTTTTCGTTTTATCAAAGTAAAAATCTTTAATCTTGTCTGCGATAATCTTGCGTTCAGCACTGTTCATGGGTAATTTGAGATCCAACGGAATGCAATCTGTCAAGCTTGGATCTTTCTTCTCAATTTTCTTCTTGATGTCTGGATAGAATATTAATCCTTCCTCACTGGTCATTCCAACCATCACTGGAATTGCATTTCCCCACGCGGTTCGACACATCTCTCGCGGATGCCGAGGAATCATGCATTGATCACTTTGGTAGTGTTCAATGGACGGGACGAAGTGATTGATGGTGCCTTCTTGCTTAATCTCTGGCGTCAGCACAGTTTCTTGCGCTGTAACAATCTCCATGTGATCAGCAGCCATCAGAGTTTGTAAGATCGCCGCTTCACCGCCAATTCCATTCCATCCCAGAGCCTGGGCTAAGCGTCCTGCCCAGTCTCGATCAGGAGACAAGGCCCAATTGCTGAAGGCAGACCCCGACTGGACGATGGCCCGATGGAAGAGACCACGCGACAGTTCTGATATCAAATGATAGTGCACAGAAGCGCCTCCAGCGCTTTCCCCAAAGATTGTGACACAATTGGGATCTCCGCCGAAGTAGGAAATGTTATTCTTCACCCACTTCAGAGCCATGCTTTGATCCTTCAGTCCAGCATTGCCAGGGACACTGAGATTGGGATCGTGCAGATTGAGGAATCCCAGAGCGCCGAGGCGATAGTTGATTGTCACGAGAACAACATCTTTCTCAATGAGGAAATCCGGTCCATAGACTTGCGTCTCATTTGATCCGCACACAAAGCCACCGCCGTGGATGAAAACCATGACTGGGAGCAATTTCTTAGGGTCAGACTGTCAGAAAGAGCGATAGCATAAATCATTTGTTATCAAATCGGGCCAAAGTACTCCAATTGCACACTTACATTCCTGGTGAAAACACTCAAATGAAGGCAATCCTCTTCGCCCTGAAATGTTTCCAGGAACATCATCTTCTGGCTGCATCCTTGGCTCTCCACTGTGCAATCCAACACTTCCGTCCAAGGCTCAGCAGGTTCTGGATCCTAGAGAAAAATATCACAGCGTTACGCTGAAGGTCTCTCAATTAATCAGAAAATTCTACTGGCAAGAACTTACCTTGAACCTAAGGCTGCCAATTGGAGGCTTGGCATAGGGAACTCGGTAGAAACTGAGGTACTTTGTGCCCCAGAGATTTTCACTGTGGAGCCCCCGAATGGGGCCCAGAGCAGTTCGCGCAACAATTGTGTTCGACATCATTCACAACACTGACAGACGAGACTTTTATCTTCTCCACTTTCACACTTTGCTCATACGCAGAGATTAATGCTCTTCTATCTTGAACTGGGGGTTTTGGCTGCTCTTCTTATCACCACACCATAAGACTTTATCTGCGTCCAACCGAAGGGGAAATATTGACTGTCACGATGAACACGTACGCTGTCAGATTGAAAACACATTCGCCTTCGAGTGTATTCATTACTACACAATTTTCTGTTTGCTTTTTCCTTGACAAAATGCCCTGAGTCATTGGCGGCGTGTGTGTGTGTTTCACTGAAAATTGCTATAAATACTTTGTTGCCATTTTTTACAGTGCAAATTGATATTTAATGCTGCGCATAGCATGAGATGACTGATAAACAGGTTTTTCTCTCTCCCAAAAACGGTTGGAGTGTTTAAAATAACAATTTTTACCCGTAAAAAAAATGATCAATTAAGGACTCCATCAGCGTTATATATAAATTTTCCCATGAAACGTACAACTAGGCAAGGATTCATATATAAAGCCACTTCACCTCTAAACGAAGATTCATCTTCCACGGTGATAAATTTCAAAGAGTTATTAGCAATATATTCACAAGCAACTACCATTTATGGTAGACTTGAACTCGCAAAATTGTCACACATTAAACACAGTACTTGGACTCTTAACTCACTCTCCTTGGCGCTGAACTTGTTGTGTGATAAGAGCTTTTGCCATTTTTGGTGTATTAAAAGCTCAACGGGACGCCACCCACCCACCACCCATTCAACTGATTCCCCTTCGCGGTGACACTGTTGCAATAAACTCAGGATCGTTACTCTGGAGAGTATGAGCTAATAAAATAAAACACTAACAACCACAAAATTGACGCTTCTCCGCCATGCCAAGGAATTCCACGTCGCAGTGTATTTGCGTGTGTGTGTGAAGCTCCTGTCTCTCGCTCTGTGGTCCTTCTGGAGCTCCTGATGGGGAATGGTGTGCGATGAGGCAATGGAGTGTGTTAGGGGATCGTCTATCATTATTCTATTTATTATGTTTCACATTCAACCCACAAATCGACTCAATTTTATGAGACTCTGTGTGTGGCTTCCTTCATCAGCATGACGAGCAACTTTTGGCCCATCTCAGTGGGTTGTTTAATAAAAAAACAATTTCTCAAAATTTCCTGTTGCGCATCTCGTCTTACGGTCTTTCCTGTGCCGCCAACCATCCGCTCTGTCTTTTGCATGGGCGGCCGTCTCTCCTCTTGTTTGCGCCATAGCATCATCATCATACAATATTTCCTCTCATACATCATCCCCATCCAGCGATCATCGCGGTGACTGCATTATTACGCCCGAATTCGAAAAGGCGCGCCCACAGAGAAGAATGGAGAGCGCCGCCACCCCGTTGGCGCAGGACTCCCCCTCGGATGGCGGCGGTGTGAGAGGGAGGCGCGCCAGGGTGATGGGAATTTATCAAAAATTGCGAATGTGTGCCGAGGATGAAGATGCTCTGCAACAAAGCGAAAGCAATCTTGTTGGCAACAGCTGAATCATATTAGAGAGATGCCAAACTTTATGAGACCACTTCATTGAATACATTATTTCCTTCTCTCGCACACAACTCATGCTGCTATTTCACCATGCAAAATGTTGTTATTACAAAACGCACCCAACATTCACTCTTTCCCGCGATTATCTCCTCCCGGAAAATGTCGCTATTCTTTCCTCATTTCTTTCACAACAATGTTGTCATTCCGCACTCTTCAGAATTTTTGACAGAGGATCTCATTTGCATAAAAACCCCGCAACCAAAGAGGTAATGAAACATTTATGTAGAAATTGTGTAGAAATGAAAGGAACATTTCGATGGGTGAATAGAAAACTAAAAAAGAGTCAAAATTGGCCATTTATCAAGAGAGCAAATTGAGAATTTAGCATCAATATCGTTGGAAAATTTGCCGAAAATACCTTAGAACCCTCAAAAAGACTTCTAAAAATTATTTTCTGAATTTTTTAATAGTTTTTGAATACATTTTATCCCAACAAGTCTTAAAAATCAACTTTTTATACTGAACAAGATCTTTTCTTTAAACTTTTCAAGTGAAAAAATTCAAAAATCTGAGAAATATTCAGTCAAAGTCTAAGAACATTTAAGAGTAATTCTGAAAATTTATAATTATTTTTCAAAGAGGATTTTTACACGTTTGATTCAGACTAAGAGAAAAAAGTGATGAAAAATTAATTATTCCGTGTAAATTACCGGTAAAAATCAAATCTACCCTTTTTTCTAAGAAAAAAATCTTTCACCTTCAATTGCAAATGCTTTAAAAAGAAATTCCACCAAGACGCTGTTCACTCTTCGTTGGCTTTTCCACTGGATTCATCGTCTGTATCTCACACTTACAATTAACTTAACAATTGGGGAGAGAGGAAGAGCGAATTGGCGAAATGAGGCAAAAATTATGTTAATATCTCATTAAAATTATTCAATATTTAATCCTCCTCTTCCTCATGCTTCTTCGCTATGGCTCTTTTTTTTCTTCAAACACTCCGTCTTGCTCACTAATTCAGCTGAAGCGCTTTTTTTCCTAATTTTCATAAGTTATATCACACACAGAAAAAAATCACTGCAATTCGTTTCAATGCATGAAGTTTTTTTTTGGGTAATTTGATGTGCATTTCGGAGGCAGTAAAGCGTTTTTCGAATTCATCCGAAAGTGGATGTTTTGAGAGAAAGTACACACAATTTTCTGAACAACTCTGCATATTGTGTATCTCATTATTGTTCACATTACATGAAAATGTTCTGACTGTGAATCTGACGCAGAAGTTCATAACACGAATTGCAAACTATTTAAGCAAAATTGTAGGTGAAAAGATTTCTTTGGGTTGAAAATGTACAAATGTACACACAGTGAAATCAACTCCGCACCGTGAGTTTTTCCCCAAACTTTGTGAAAAAGTGTTTGCACTGCGAATGAAAACTTTTCCCACCATAGTGAATTTTCGGTGGAAAATCTTACTAATTAGGTGTGTAAACTTTATATATTTTCACTGCACTTCACAGAAGCATAGCAAAAAGCCAGTGTGTTTGGTATAAAAATCATCCAGAGTGTGTTTAACTTAATATTCCAATGAAGTTCAACGAAATATCGTGAGACAAATTCATTAAACTGCATTGTTAGTTTTTCACCAGAATCGAGCCACAAATAGAGATTCTTTCTCTACACACGCTTAAGATTTTGTAAAGCCAGACACGTGAGAATGCCCAAAAGGAGTGAGGAGAAAAGTTTCAATATAATCCATAAAAAGTGACAATTTAACATCATTTCTTCGGGCAATTCACAAACTAACAGAAGTTGACGTGAATCCGATGTGACTTGAATATAATTGTGGCAATGGAATTCCTTCTAAGCAATTTAAATTGACATCGAATGTCACAGAAGCATATTTTAATCCTCATTATCAATTTAAGTGACTTTCAATGAAGAGGAAAATTCCTTGAACGAGAAAACACACCATGCAAGGCCACATAAAGTCCATTTTCCATCCTCAAACCCAATGCTATTCTGTGAAGTAAATGTTTTATTTATTCTTGTCTTTTCCCGGCTTCTTCTTCGCACGCCCTCACACCATCTCTCGCAAGCCACCATTTCTCTGACCACTGCTCAGGCCATGAGTATTGGGGGTGGCGAGAAAGTGAAGAACTGAAGGTGAAGACGATTTGTAAGACACCAAAATTGGAGGGCGAAGAGATCCAATCCAATTTGGAACGTGACGAAAATTGGGTATTTCCTTCAAATTACGACTAAATATGGTCCATCTAATCGTGTGCTCAATGTTAAGGTTTGTAAAAGGAAGTTTGTCCTTCCATCACCAGCCAGCCGACCCACGCCCCCCCACCCTCTCTTGGGATGAGCAAAAAAGTGTCGAGGATGCGTTGTGATGGTTGCTCGTTGATTTCGTTACGTGTCGCTTCTATTTTATTGTCGTCATTTCTTGCGCCACTTCTTCATACAAAAATAAAACTCTCGACCAAAGATGAAGGAAGACGAGTGGACGAGGAAAATTGTCAACAGGATATGGATACAGGAGGGGAAAACCTAATTAAATTTCTTTGGTTCTCTTTAATTAGTTCGCCTCTATATAGCTAGTCACCGGACTTTTATCATCAACACCATCCTTTGTCGCTGAAAAATGCGTTGATGATGTTTCTTTCTCAACATCACACACTCACTTTCTTATTAACACACACTTTTCCCCCGAAGGATATGTGTTACAGATCCTCGCTAGAAATGCGTCAGAGACGTGTTGATTTTCTGCTGGAATTTCTTAGAGCGATTGTAGACTTGCTGATGATCCACGAGAGGATAAGCGAGAGCGCAAGTGTGACAGATAGTTGAGGCATAAAACGCGACTGATCCCTCGATATATCGAAGATTCAACCGATATTTATGGGGTTTTCGACGACATTTCACAACTCAAAACGGACAAAATGGCGGATCTCTTGAGAATAATTCTCAAAATCATCAAATTCTTCCACAAATCCTCAATTTTCGCAATTTTATTGTAAAATTTCACGCTTTTCGATACAATAAACAAATAAATTGACAGCTGAGAACGAAACACGAAGCAAAATTGTCGCTAGTGTCGACAAAGAAGAATAACCTCTGACTGTGTACAGCGCCAGTTGAGGTTTGATCCCAGTTCGCGCCAATTTGATGATAACCCGCAAGTCTGTAATTGCTCTTAGACATGTTTATTTTCTCGTCCAGTGATGATGAGAAAATCCAGTCGCAAAGTTTTCATCTGCCAGCAATTCTCGATAACATGTGCGAAAATGACTAGGAAAAAGCGAAGTTGGAATGAGAAAGAGAAAACAATTTCTCATTCGACGCCCTTTCAATTAAAATCAACAGTGCAATCGTCATAATTGATAAACCATACTTCAGTCTTGCGTCCCTGGATATTAATAATAACACTGGGTTCGCCACTCAAGGTTGTGTTTTCCTCACACACGCACACAGTGCCTGTAATATGTACTTAAACCTGCCGTAGTCGATTTCAGGCCCCTTTGCAAAACTATGAGAAACTGCGAGTTGGGGTTGGAATTTTACTCTCAATTATTCACTTCTATACTCGCAACACAATTTCTGTCAACAAGACTCCGAATGGAACAATATCCAGAACAGCCAAGAGTGACATCTTAATGAAGAGGACTCCCTCTCGTGAAAATACTT